TTGCGAATAAATACTAAGTTTCTCTTAATTACTTACACTTCTTTTACTTAAATAGGCCTACTCCATATCCGGAATAAGAAAAAACCTCCTCCCTCGTCAATTATTTTAAAAACGAGAGTAATTATCTAATATCTTTTCCTATAAAGGCCCTACCCTAAAAAAGCACCTAAATCCAGAGGGGAAAAACACAATTAGGCCTAATAGAACGTACCCTTTCCCTTTCAAAATTAGGGACAAGAAAATATAGATCCAGGTCCTCTAATACTTCTTTGATTGATCGAGACATTTTTCTTTTCGTTAGTTATTAACCCCTTCAGTCCCCCATTTATCAAATTTTATTTTAGAAATTTTTTTAGTGACATAAAATAATTAAATAGAATTTTTTTCTGTTAGAGTAATACAAATTCCTTTGATAAGAATTGAAAGATAATAAAATGTTTTTTTTTTTTTCTAATTAAGTAGTCATATAGTGGCCTAAATAAATTTTTTGTAGGCCCTCCCCTAGGGCCAAATTAATTTTTTATCAATAATAGAAACCATTAAAAATACTAATTCAACAGTCAAAATAAATAAATGCATCTTCAAATCAGCACAAATTATTCCTTTACAAAATAAAACTAAATTTGTAATTTTTGACCAAAAACGTCGGAAGGTAAAAAATAATATAAAATTTCACCTCAAGGGGGGCCTAAGCCAATTCCCCAAGACCTACGAGCTGGTTCAGTCACCTTCACCGCACTACGCACCGTAGCCTGGAAAAGCCTAACTTACCCCGCGACGTAAAATCCATAAATCAATTACAGTATCCGCCTAGCACCCGTTTAAAGACGTGGGAAAACGTAACCTATAATCTTTCAAAAATCCGGTTGGTGTCAAAATTTTTTTTTTTAATATGACAAATTACGATAATATATGAGATCAAGGTGTCATTTTCGAGCATTTGCCATGATGGATCTCAACGTCCTGATTGCGCATGTGTCACAGGGAAACCAAAAAGTTCGAAAGTTCAATGGTCATGTCTATGGAACGCCGTTACTGCCTTTGGTGGCTCTTTTCCGTTCGGCGCATTTGCTATTCGGCCCTTTTAACATTACGTTCGGTGCTTTTACATTACGTTCGGTGCTTTTACATTACGTTCGGCGCTTTTTACATTACGTTCGGTGCTTTTAACATTACGTTCGGTGCTTTTACATTACGTTCGGTGCTTTTACATTACATTCGGTGATAAAAGGGCCGAATAGCAAATGCGCCGAACGGAAAAGAGCCACCAAAGGCAGTAACGGCGTTCCATACATGTCAGGGTTCGTTTTCATTTTTGTAAATAACAAAGATGGCGCTGGCAAAGTTGATAGCCACGTTTTTTTTCCCGAAGTGTCTATGCTTACTCCGAGTCGTAAGCATTAACCATAGGCTATGCTTACGCCGATCTATTTGAAGGGCGCCGCTTGCTTCGTGAGTACGAAAACGTCCTAATGAGCATGTGCAAATATTATTTTTTTCTGTAGCACGCACTTGGTGAAGTTTCCGATGGAAGATGAAGACACTTTGCGTCTCGGTGGCACTTTCACAAGCTATGAAAAATTGTCAGAAGCTGTATCGAATTGGGAGAAAGAAAATCACATAAATTTATATAAACGATCTTCACGTAGCATCGATTCTGCCAAAAAAACGTGCACCTAATAGAAACTTCAACCCCGAATTAAAATTCTATTCAATCGATTACGCCTGCATTCATGGTTCTCACCATGTTAGTAATCAGAGCTAAGTTAGTACAGCCCATATTTCGTGGTTGTTCCACATCGAATCAGTTAGTAGAGAAAAAGAAAGTTATTTTTTATGAGAGTTTCCTTTCAAACATTTCAGTTGTTAAAAACCTTGGTGCTTAAACCGAAATATACTACAGTGTTTTTGTATATTAATAACAAAATTGGATTGAAACTGTGTCACGCTCTCTTGTAATTATTGTATGCGTACCTTGTTCATAATAGGAAAATTAAGAATTTTATAGGGACACACGGATCAAGAGATGTTGGAAAGGTCGGGGTGAGGGATCGAGATAAGAGCACCCTATGGGAAATTCTTGTTTTTATTAGTATGTAGTATATTTCGGTTTAAGCACCAAGGTTTTTAACAACGAATTTTAATTCGGGGTTGAAGTTTCTTTTAGGTGCACGTTTTTTGGCAGAATCGATGCTACGTGAAGATCGTTTATATAAATTTATGTGATTTTCTTTCTCCCAATTCGATACAGCTTCTGACAATTTTTCATAGCTTGTGAAAGTGCCACCGAGACGCAAAGTGTCTTCATCTGCCATCGGAAACTTCACCAAGTGCGTGCTACAGAAAAACAAAAATATTTGCACGTGCTCATTAGGACGTTTACGTACTCACGAAGCAAGCGGCGCCCTTCAAATAGATCGGCGTAAGCATAGCCTATGGTTAATGCCTGTCTCTTATACACATCTTGTTTTGTTGTCATGACAAGATAGGTTATCTTGACAAGTCGACATAATAAAAGTTGTATGTTGTCATGGTGAGATAAATTATCTTGACAAGTCGACATAGTAAAAATGTTATGTTGTCATGGCGAGATAGATTAT